TATTATTATTATTATTATTACTACTATTATTACGACTATTATTATTACTGTTATTACTACTACTACTACTACTATTATTGTTACTATTGTTATTGTTGTTGTTGTTATTGTATTATTGTTATCTATAATTTATACAATTAATCTCCTTGTGGTTCGATCTCGGTCTTGCTGAGTTATTTATTACTTCAACACTCCTGCACTTGGGAGAAGACATCAATCTTTTGGTCATGTCAGTCTTCTGCAACTCTTTAAACTATATTATTTTCCTAAATATTTTTTGCACTATGTTATTTTATTAATTTTTTTAGAACATTATGACACGACTAAAAAATTAATGTCTTCTCTCAAGAGTAGGAGTGTCGAAGTAATAAATAACCTGGTAAAATCAGAGTCTAATCACAGAGAGATTAATTGTATAAATTATAAACAATAATAATAATAGTACAACAACAACAACAATAACAATAACAACAACAACAACAACAATAATAACAATAATAATAACAACAATAACAATAATAATAATAACAATAAAGAAGTTAATAAGAACTTTAAAATGAAAGATCAATATGAGGATCAAATAATGATAAAAATAAATATCAAGATTAGATGATCCACTAATGGTATTTCAAACAAGTGTAGTATAAACTCTTTTTATTACTCAACTAGAAACCACACACAAAGGAGGTTCCAATCGGATTACAAATGTTTAACATGATTACACTAATTATCTTATTTGAATAATGTTAATACTTATAAATGTTGTCAAGCATTCATAATTATAACTTATGTTAACAAAAAATAAAGTTCCTTTCATAGCACAAATGTTAAATTATTGTAACAACACACAAATAATAATAATAATAATAATAATACAACAACAACAACAACAATAACAATAGTAACAATAACAATAACAATAACAATAATAATAAATTATTGTATAAATTATAAATAATAATAATAATAATACAACAACAACAACAACGACAATAATAATAATAGTAATAATAATAATAACAATAACAATAACAATAACAATAATAATAA